TAAGCGGGGGTTCGCTGAACTCTGCCCTGGCTTTAATGGTAGGATTTTTTTTCACCGCTTCCGCGTTAGTTCACCATGCGTTTCAGAGAGTGTTTACTATATTCTAAAACGCCGATATGTTGGTGGGTATGAATTTTATCTGCCGACACTACTAAACGCTCCCGCTGCCCATGTGGTTGTTTCACGTAGAGCAGCATATATCAGCTTTGTATTTATTTTTCCACATCACTTAGTTTGCAATGACGAGGCTCTCCGGGCCTAAAATATAAAATTTATTTATGATTTATTATTTATTCCGAGAAGATTCAGGTCGCGAAGAATGAGTTCGAGCATTCGTTGAATTTGGGAATAATCCGACCGTCGTCCAGTACATTAGCTCCGCCACTGCACATGGTTCCCAAGAAGTCACCCGACGATTGACGGCCATGTGGTGATTATCGCGCTATTAATCGAGCTACAGTCCCAGACCGGTACCCGATACCCCATATTCATGACTTTTCCCACATGCTGACCGGAAAGACCATTTTCTCTTAGATTGATCTCTTTTGGGCTTACCAATTAAAACCGGTCGCGAAGGATGATATTCCTAAAACCCCTGTCACGACACCTTTCGGTCTATTCGAATTTCATTGCATGCCTTTTGGTTTGCGGAATGGGTCCCAAACGTTTCAGCGTTTCGTCGATGACATCTTACGAGGTCATTTCTTCACGTTCGTGTAAATTGACGATATCCTTGTCGCAAGCTCGTCACGCGAGCACCTACGTCATGTTTTAAATCGTTTTAGCAAAATGGTCTACAACTGAACCTCGATAAGTGCCTCTCTGGCGTCCCTCCTCTGAATTTTCTTGGCCATCACGTTGACCAACATGGGATCACTCCCTTCCAGATAGGGTGCAAAGCATGTTTTCTTTCCCGGCCTCGCAGTCGATTACACAGGTCCGCCGCCATATTGGCCTGATTAACTACTAAAGTCGTTTCATACCAAATTGCGCCGCCACCATGGCCCCTTTGACGGATCCTTCGAAGTAAAAGGCCAAATCGTTTCAGCTTTCACCCAGCGCTCTTGAACCATTCGAAGCAGCGAAGAAAGCACTCGTGGATGCCACTCTGCTTCATCATCTGAGCACCGATGCTGATGCACAGCTGATTCTTACCACAGATAATAATGTTAAGGTTTATTTGTAAAGCATATCTTCGGCACCGCCAAAAACAAACCCCTTCTTTTGCAGTCACTTTTGGCTTTGTTTTTTCTTATGTTTGATCAATAGTGTGCAAAATAAGGAGTTTGATTTAAGTAAAACAAACTGACTTTGAGGGTGCAATACTAGCAAAAAATAAAATAAAATAGCCATACATTTTACATGTTACGGTTTCATATTAAGAATACATTGGGTCTGGAAAAGCTCTCATTTCATTTATCGGAGGTGGATAAAGCCGCGGTCAGTTTGAAGGCGAAATAAACAGCTGAGGGCATGGCATCATCCGCATGTATGGTTTTGCTTGATACGGAGATAACAATCTTGGTCCATTAGCAGGATTTTGATAAATACATGGGACGTTACAGATGTCTGAGGTGGGTCGGGGCGACAGAAAGGCTAATTCCGAAGCACTATTTTCATTCAAGTGTGACGACAGAGGACGCTTGACCTTTCGTTTGTCGTCTATCTAATCTGGGTAACATATAGATCTCGATAAAACATGCTTAAAGTGTATACTACTGATACGTTATAAGGAGAAGCAACAAATATTTAATTTAAGTTGTAAATAAAAAATTTTCCTTCATAAGTGTTTTTTATAAACGTCAAGATTTTATTCGAAGAACATTAGAATCGACAAATTTATCTTAATTTTTTTTCATTTTTAAGGACTGAAGAAGGAGGCAAGAAAAATGTTTGCCTAACTTCTGCCTTGCTGATGTTTGCTGATCGCCGCGATAGCGGCCTCCGCCGGTAGGTACTCCCGCGACATTTCTGTGGAGCTCACCAGAGCAATTCTCCGCTATGTCTGATAACGCTCTTCCACGCCGTTCTGTGTCCGTGCGCAAACTTACGCATTGAACGCGTGCGCGCATACTGTAAGGATTTCCTACCTATCTAACCCCCTGCGC